CCAGCAGATGGTACTCGCGTTCTTGAGCTGTAGTTGTCATGGGAATCATAGTCAGCATTCTGTCTATGTTGACGCATGACTTCTTCATGTGATGGTCCATTTGAGACTGAGTCTTGGTAATACTGATCTCTGTGTTGATATGACTGAGCTGTGATGAAAACAAAAACATGATATTTTGGGATTCCTGTGCTCTATTCTTCCTTTCCTCCAAAAAGGCACAGGAATCCCAAGAATTGCAATATCAACAAGTATAAGTTACAGTTGTTAAGTTRGGTTTTCCTATTCATTAGTTAACCTTCTACATGATACAAGACTGGTGTTTTTTCATTATTGACAACACTTTCCACTAGTAAACGGTTTTAGTCAAACTAGCCTTCTTCACAATAAACTATACTCCATGGGATTCCTGTGTTTAGCCAAACTGCCAAAGGGGGTAGGGGTTAGGAAGGAAGTAAAATCCTAATCTCTCAACAACAATTTTTTTTTCAGTCAAGATTATCAACAYAGGAAGACCAAAAAGACTAAAAGTCTGTTTCTGCTGGAGTGGTCTGTGAAGGAAGCCTCACAAAGTACTTTTACTGGCATCATTACTTTCACTAGCTATATTGTTAATCATTCCAGTAAATGTTACCTGGTGCTTGTGGTGCTTGTGGTGCTGCAGAAGCCTCTTTTAGAGTCTCCAGTGCTTTCCGTACTTCTTGTCCAAATCTAATTGCATCATCACTACTTTGAAAATTCAAGCCATAAACTTGTCGCTGGTCACGCCATTGGTGAAATGTYGGTGTAGCTTCATTATATTTTAGACCACGTGCCAAAGCACAATTGATAACAACCTAAAAACATGGAAAATTGTTTTCTCTTAGGGTCAGATTAGACAGAACAATTTTGCTAAGTTCAACATGGTTATGCAACTGGGTCTTTACAACATGGCTACAAATGTCATAGAGATTACACTTATTGTTKGATGGACCTACAACAGTAAGTTGTATCTACATGTTGTACGGTAGCCTTCTTCACAGGCATCACTAGGAATCACGGGCTTCCTGTCTTTTTTGGGAGTCAAGAGGTCTTAATCCCAACTACTGGCAAAGATGACCGTTACAAAGGAAGCCCAAAGGAGGAAAAAAATAGTTTCCTGGTGAGGAGGCTAGTGTACAGATGACTTTGAATTTTGAATGCAAAAGCAAAAGTTATGTTGTATAATTTGACCTTTACAAAGTAGAGAAGTGGCTGGTGAACTTTTAAACCTAAACACTATCAAAAATATTTTTTTTAATGATATTACTCTGGATTTTTACTTCCAATCAAATAATACTTCAAAATGTGTATCCATGTAATTTAGACTTTATCTATATTTATGACATACATGTATGTAGCTTGTAAAAGGAAAAACATAAATGTATGAGCTTAATTGACGAAGGACATTCATTCAAATAGATGTAAAATGTAATTTTTATGTTTTATTTAAATGACATTGTAGACACACAATAAAATAATGGAATTTGCATAATTATACAATCTGCATTAACCCAATATCAACTAGACTTTCATTTTGTAGTTTTAAAATTTGAACCCAGATCATTACTTACAGCATGGTCATCCAGCTTTCGTCCCACTATTCTAAATGTATTATTGACTGGGTGRTGGTAGATATTGACTCTTGATARCCCTGGTGCGCCTCCTGAATGCTGCCACTGTTTRCGCTCATTGTCATACAGCATGACAGATGCCTTGGCGTGTGTTATACTGTGTTCCCTGTGGAAAATAAATCAAGATGAGTATTAAATACATTCAAAAGATAGAATTTTCACATTCAATTAATTCAAACTTAACCAATATGATTCTTGGAAAATCATCATGATTCAAATACTGTGTGACTACAATGTATCTTTAGTCGAAATCACCTTCTTGAAGTTACAATATTTGAATTTCAAAGCAGTCTTTGAAACAAAGAGCCCGTTCCCAWTAAYGRCCAGCTCTAGTTACATGTACAACCACTTTTGCCATTTTATTCAATGTGGTTTAAGAGTATCTTTGACTGCAATCTCTCTATTGTACATACATGTWCTGTATGATATATGACATACTGTCATCCTGGCTATTATTTCATTTTAGAAAAGGGTTTCATTGATAATTTTCATTAAGCAAAATAATGTGATTTTCAACCAAATATTCGAATTTTTCTTCCTTTCTTTACTTGTCTATTTTGTTTATTCTTTCATTTATTACATTATCTATTCACTAATCTTTTAATTGTATATAGTAAGGGGAACAGTCTTTGTGTAATACATAGCATTGAAAGTGACCATGTTTAATGGTTTTCATTCTATGTTTATTATTTGAGTGGAGCAYAATATCAATCAACAAGAAACTGATACTTTGTGATTGAGGTCTATAAAACTACAATAAGGAGTATCAGTTTCTTGTTTTCATTTCAATTTTCACAAACTTAWAGTTAAGAAACATTAATTTGGAGATATGACTTCATCTTTAGGAGCTATAATATCTATAATAATAATAATAATAATTTTATTTTATACAGCGCTTATACAAATCTGCTCTAAGCGCTTTCAAATTACAAACAATTACAATGACAGAGTTATTCATTTATTTTATTTTTATCTAGTATATAAAGAATATAGTGAATTTAAGTGATGAGGTAATTAAATTTGATAATTTAAATGCTTCAACCTTGGCCTTGAATGGATGCACCAAAAATACCAAATATGTTCCCCAGATATATATCCAAAATACATGCAACACTTTTTTATACATTATTTTGTATAAAGAGAATATTAGCTTGCCTACTTAAGTATCGCAACTGTGCTTCCCATTTTAGAAAATAGGTTTTAAATTATGCTAATTTTGTGTTTAAGTTGCCATATAGTATGTCATCATTTTTAAACGTTTTTTAAAAAATAAAATAAATGGTTTTATGACATCTATTAAAATATTTCACATGAGAACATTAAGTCAAAGTGAACATTACAGCAATGTCACAAAATTAGCATTAATGGTTTTCAAATGTCATTTTCTCTCAAATATGAAGCCTGTCTTAAGTTTTACTATTAAGATTAAGCAACTATTTTGAACATAACAATAAATGTGCCATAAAACATGCACTTTAACATAAAAATAAATCAAATATTCAACAGCTCAACCTGAACAAACTTTTAACTTTAAGTCTATTTATTTCTTCATTGCTTTACTGATGTAGGTATTCATTCAATCATTTTTCTATTCATTTGTTATTYATTCATTTATTTTATTTTTATCTACCTAGATTCATTCATGTGATATAGAGCCTCACAGCCAAAACAAAACAGTARCTAATTCAAGTTCTTTTCAATAGTTTTAGAAAAGAAGGCATGAWTTCTGCATACTAATGTGATAATCTGTGGTTGCCTCACAGCAGGTTCTAATAGTTATTATGTAAATGAACTAGAGTTGTAATACCACACATATTACACAATACCACACATGATGTGTCATCACCTTAGTGGTCCTCAGACATGTGATAATCAAATACAGACGCTTGCAAACACTAAAAAATATGTAATGTAATCAAGCTTCCCAATAGATATACATGACTCCAGAATACAGCTAAGAGGGGTGTAGTTTATGGTGTCTCAGAAATCGCAAGGATAGATAAATTTCCCAAGGCTCGCAAGCTCAGCGCTTAAAATAATGGGGCTTCGATTTAAAATYTCTTTTGGCTCGGAAGCTCGCAATTGCYGAAATATCGGACTTGTTYAGCYAAAGGCTCGTGCTCTGATTTTAAAACAAGGGCCTCGCAGGTGCTCGGCGAGGCTCAGATTGGATACCCCTTATAAGTAACTTTTGCTCACAAATACGAAAAGATGACAAAATGCTTAGTTTCTAAGTTTAAGTTTAGTTTAGATGAATTCAGTATTAATTTTATTTTATTTTACTAATAATTATTGTGGCAGGACAGAAATAACAGGATGGAAGTCCAAATTGAAAATATCTTCCTATATCATAAAATCAAACAATAAATAAATATTACAAACAATAAACAAATGGGAATAGTATATTATGTAGCAAGTTCAAGGTGACCACTACAGTAGTAAAATTTTAACTTTATACAGTAAAGGCTTATAAGATTATTCTTAAATAATGCTAAATTTTCTGCATTCTTAATGTTTGTTGGGAGTCTGTTCTAGAGTGCCACAATTTTAGGAATGCTGCAGGAGTCTGAGKCCTATGTGTATAAAAATATTTGAGTAAGACTGAATCAGCAGTAATTATAGTGAAACATATGATTACWAWATWGTGCAAAAATAGTGCTRCCTGAACAAAAGAATTAGCATACTACAAGATAACACTGAAGCAGAACAACTGAAAAACAATAGYTGCATAGCAGGTCTTTCRTTTCTTTGYATCATGTGTTCACTTGAGTGAACTCTTAGTGAATGAGGTCTTTCCTTTCTGTTTATTTGTGCTGTTCATGCCTGACTTAACTGTGATAGTTAAACAAAATATGACTTATTTGCCTTTGATTAGCATCACTTGTACAATGATAGTTTCTTGTCTTCTTATTCAACATGGTTGGTGTCACTGAATTGTCAAAATTGTTGTTYATTCGTGAGAAAACGTCTAGTGGATAATAAAGTTTTTTTTAAATGTCATAGAAAAGTAATAAAATTATCATAAAATTTGTGTTTCCAAAGAGTAGTTAATGACCTGGGAATTCAAGCCATTGAAAATTCAGAATTACAGTATAAGTGAGGGAAAAGGAAAATATTGTGCATTAAAAATAAAAAAAATAATTAATCAATCTATTAGTTCATATACTAATTAATTGAATAACAATTATCTTATCAAAGAATGAGTGATGTGCTCCTTGGAAATCAACAATTCATTTCCTGTTTCGAAATTATACTGTGTCTATACTTTAAAATGAAAGTTTACTTTTGAGTGCAAACAATATTTGAATATATATAATGTACTGTACTGTTAAACACTCAATCGTATACCATTAAAAACAAAATGCCATATAAAATCGATTAGTAATCTTATGTCAAATCAGATTGCATATCATYACAATCCTGTTCTTTTGGTATAAAATTAGCCAAATTCTGATCATAGATTAGTTGCCCTTTGACCTTGACAACAGGRCTTCTGTTCCAACTACAAAATGTCCAATRATCTGACTACAAAACTTGTCAAAAACGAGACTAGAAATATAATTTTGCAGCGTGTCAGGTGTATGAGGTTAATTAGAGAGACTAATTCAGCAAAAATTGCTATTAATTGACATGTTACAGGATAATTTTCCGCTTATTGTGMGAACAGAATTTTAAGTTAAAGTAATATGATTGGAATGAAGACTTATGATATAGACGCTACTACKGTCTCTGATAGACAGTGAACATGTAACATTAATATTTATAATGTTATAACTTATCATAATTTGCACAAGATACTTTTGTCATGTAAATAAAAATATCTTTGAATTGGATATACCAATGTAATTTGTAATATTAATGTTAACTGAGTCAAGATATGTAGTTATGACTGTATCCACACTGTAAATAATGGTGATATAAGTCATTCAAGGCATGACGATCATCATACAATRGAAAAATGCCCTGGGTCCTAATGTGAACGCTAAAGCCGCCTATGCACAAGATAGCAAAGTGCATTAAGGGAAACGCCATGCAAGTCACTTTGATCAGTGTGTGCACACCCATTCTTGATGTGTTTACAGTGAGCAAAACACTGCTAAAAGCACCTCAAATGGCATTTCCCTTACTCACTTTCCCATCTTGTGCGACGGGCTTAAGGCTGTACATGCCTGGCTTTCATTACAATTATATACTGGCATTTAGATAGTAAAAATGTTTTAATATAGGTATTAATTTTTTCARCATTTCTTTTGCACTTTTTAACTGAAAGTTCATTCAGGATACCACTGAGGAGACAGATCATGACAAAAGTGATGATATACTAGTCAATCAAAGCATGCAATTCAAAGGAAACAGAACTGAAAAAACATATAATTGTTTTATTAGCATGCTACTAAATTGTTGTTAATAAGGTACAGTGCTTCAAGTTACACGCTATTCATGCATGTACTTCAGCATCATATCAAAGACAAGTTCTTTTTGAAAGGCAACTTGAGAAAAGATTCCTATAATTGTGCATGTAATTATTTTCACTTATAATTTACATAATAAATTTACTTGTATTTATGATAAACACTATCATGTGTTTTTATGGTAAACACAATATTCAAAGAATTATCTCCTTTATAACAGCAGTACACAAACTTACACTAATCTTTTTTAACAGTGATATGATGAATAGAAGTGAGAATTTCACAATTCCCAAAGCAGATTTCTTATTATAAGTCTGAGCTCAACTGATAATAATAAAAATAATACAATAAAAATCTTTAGCTGCAGTAAGGCTTCATTTCATCCTTTCTTTCATTATAAGTAGCATAATAAGCTGCTAAACAATGATGCAACATTGACTAAATCATTTGTTATCAGTTCACGCTAAAATTTTCTATGGGACACATAATATAAGATTTCATTAATCATTTGAATATTTTAAATAATTAAAAACAAGGACATGACGTGATAAAYAGCTCTAGGGAATAATTGAGAAACTATTTCATCTGCTAAGTGTTAAAAATTGATTCCTTTTGAACAGTTTTAAAATATATTGTGTACATTATTGAATAGTAACATCATTAATGCCTTTTTTTATTCCGTGGAATTCAGAAATCCCCAACAAATAATTAGTGTTACATTTGAATAATCAAAATGTGTCCTTTATCTTATAAAAATAGTTCTTTATCAAGATTTCTTTATCTCCCAATACCAGTTTATTCCTATTAAGTGCTTTCAAGATGGGTATCAACATGCTCTTAGATAATTAAGTACATTTATCTAAGATGTCTATTTTTATATACAAACGAAATTGAGTTTATTTTATTTAATATAATACCATTTTCTTTGCAACATTAATTCATATAAAATATCTATATACAGCAGTGACTGAGGACATTATGGCATTAAAATCCCAATTGTATAAATCTGATAATACAGATCAAAATATGATGGTATTATGTTATAAAGACCCTGATGCAAAAGACAGACTAAAATTTTAACACAAGTCAACAGCATAATTCCTAAAGACTTGAGTAATTTGAAGAATTAATATTTTRAATATTTCAAGTATATCGGTTAATTTACAAGCACAAAATTGTGAATTTTATCAATGTTTGTTTTAGGCTCTGAGTAGGATTGTTGTTTTTGAAGAGCTGTTGATTTAGATTAAGCAATCTTCCCTATAAAGGGACAAGCTAGATAGAACACTTTAGGTGCACTAGAAATCTGCTTGAAGACCAACAGTAGACAAAGAGCAAACATAGGAAGGTACATAAGAAGCAAACAATGCATCATTTAAAAAACTTGTTCAAACAGCCTTGCTACAATGCTGACTGTTTTTAATGACTGAGTGTTGAAATGGTTGAACTGGGACATGTTCTGTCAAGTTAGTGGTTTCAACAGGAAGTGATATACATATAACAAGGTAGTATGAGAATTATAAATAATTATATCATACACAGAGGGCAGAGTTTGATTTATTGCTAGGAGGGTTAAAAATTAAAACTACCTTGTGTGAAGCAATAGACACAGTTATGGTTTACGGTAAATCTTCTAATAAACACACTATCTTTAAACATGGTGAAGAAAGTTTAAAGAAAACACCTGTACTACAAGATATTTTTGCTTAAATCAACTAATGTAACCAAACTGAATTCATTCCAAATAGTGATCATAGCCATGAGACATGGCGTTAAAATGTCCTAATTGGTATTGAGCTTAAAATCCAACCATGCAAATTGAAAATATCTTAAAGAGCTGCATTATTTATGGTATTATTCGGTAGAAAGATATATGTGGTGGAATTCCTAGCATGAATGTGGAGGCAGTGCGAAGAGATAAAGTTTAAACCCTGTTGTGAGAGCACTTAAGGGGCTGCTGCCAAAACAATAAAAGTGTAATATCCAAAAAATTCAGAAAATTGGCACTTCAATTAGAAACTGTTGCCATCTTTACATAAATTCCTTGGTTTTGTAGCATAAATTAGCAATGTATTGAAGAAGTGACAATCAAAAAGAAAAAGAAGGCCTCCCACAAAGGAACTTTTGTTATAAAATATAGATTATCTAGTGACAAGAGTTCAGGAATGACAGAACAACAAAAATGTTTTATACAGGTTGGAGTTGTCACTTGCTGTGCATTTTTACCAAATATAGTTTACAAGCATTTAGAATTTTTGGTGAAATACGACGAAACCTTCTCTCTTGAAAAGGATTTGATGACTTCTGACACGGCCCCCTCCATACAAACGATTGTTTCCTTGTTGTTGGTTTATTTGTAGTCATTTTGCAAAGCCTTCGAACGCTATCATCGTTGAAAAGCCATGAATTCGGACAGTGTAATATTGACAAATGTCCACAATACAACATAATATACTCCTCCTGAGCCAAAGCTTGTGTTATTATAATAATCTTCTAACCCTTGGAGTTCGACAACAAACGTTCTATATCATTGCCTTCTTGATTGTCTTTCGTAGAAGCCCATGGATAAGAAATCTAGCGCAACGTGTTTAGATTTTCTATCGTGACGGAGCTTCTGCTACTTCGGCCATCGCTTCCAAACTAAAGCAGCTCAGGAATTCCTAGATCGCTTAAATACCTTCACTAATGGCCAAAAGCCGCTAACAATGCTGAAAATACTCCACGGCTATTCGAGTGCAGCATAAAATTGGTATTTTGTGTTAAATATCTCAATATTGATAGAGTCGTACCAAGGACAATGGTCAAAAATAACACAACACTTTCGAGAATTTACTAACATGAAGTGGTGTTTCGATACTTACCCCATAATTGCTGCTATCACAAGGATTTGGGGTTATGTCACCGACTTATAGATACTCCTTCCCCGGAGGAAACAATAGATATTTTACACTTGAAGAATGCGTAGAAAATTGTTGTATATTGAATGCCGCACCCTCCGTGTGTTGCAGTTGTCTTGTAGTTTTAGGTAAAACAAACTTCAGACCAACCRATTTGAGCCTTTTCTATCGAGGGCAGGAAGTGAGTAAAACATCTGATAAAAGTAGTATTCGTTGGCTTCACTTCCGAGCAGTTCTTGGGTAGTGAAAGTGGCGATTCCGCAAGAGTTCGATACCGGATATGCACACCTTTAGCGAGCTATGCAGCCGCCATTGCTTTCACAACTACGTCACGGTCACTCGCTCAAGTCTCTACTCATCCAAAACATGACKTCCATATAACCTTTTAGATTGAATATTATGATTGGCTGGTGCACARCACTTCCTTGCAGGAAGCTGCATTTTATAGAAATTTCTAAAGTTGAAATTTAAGATGAAACAATTTTTTAACCTCATTTTATTGTTGTTGTCATATAATCGAATATATACACCTTTCTACATTATAGAAAGAGGTACTGCTTGTCAATCATAGAACCACCAATCAAATACTGTTGTCTAAAGAAGTTATGCTATATATGAGATCACCTGCGACATCAATATAGAAATACTGGAAAGAGTGAGATTTYCTCATTCGAAAACCGCAAAAGCATCACTCTCTGAAAAATTATAGCTGAAAATCTATTATTTCTATTCTGAAAGAAACGGAAATTATCTAAATATAAACATGATATAAGCAAAACATGATCCAACACGCCTTTCTCTTTCTAATTTCAGTTCATTTCTTTTCAAACTAAAATTGATATATCCAAACTCCAAATATGATGGTATGAGAATAACAAAATAAAACAAATGAAATGAAGCGCGAAACAAATTAAATATAGTATTTTTAAATTGCCTCAATGCATCACGGGTAATTAATATGACAGCAGTGCATTGTGGTCGAGGCCACGAGGAGACGCCATTTTGTTCGAAAGTCATTCCTGAACAACCCAGAAGCTAATAAGTTGCGTTAAACTCAGAATAACATGGCTGAACCAAACGAAACAATTGGCGAAGCTAGTTCAGCATCTTTTACAGAAAATWGCAGTACGATGTYKTCATCTAACMCCAATGGACAGACCGAAAACTGTGTTAGCCAGGGCAGCGACGATCGACCGAAGGGTCCAACTCCATCAGCACCCGGCGAAACTAAGCTTTATGTGGGCAACCTTCCAGACAACTGCATGAAGGAGGATCTAAAGGCTTTATTTACCAAATATGGCGAAGTTTCACAATGCGATCGAGTGAAAAATTTTGCTTTTGTGGTGAGTTTTTTCGACTGGTATAATGCCTGTTTTACCGGAAATCTGTATCGCCCAAAGCTTATATTTTATGTTCCCTTTGAAAAATCGAGGAGATCAAAGCATTCAGAAATTTCATCCATGAATAAAATTAAGATCGTGTAAGTCTGTATTGAAAGAGCTTTAGTAACAAGAAGGGAATCTCTAGTCATTAAAAAAATTGAAAACGTGTTTTGCAAAACTAGCTCACGTGGAACGAGTTCCAGTAATTCCTACCTGTGGTTTCTTGTGGCAAACCGTGATTTTAATAAGCCCAAGACCTTGTGTAAAACCAAGAATAAGTGATATAACCAACCATCTCCCCCCACTGATGAGAATTTGTTAGAGGGCTACATGTACCTAATAAACATGCCAGCATTAATAATTTCCAAAGGGTTGTTATCCACAACTCAAGCCATGCAATTAAAAACGGCTCTTCAAAGGACTGTAATTCAGCATTCTTTCCATTTTTGTCTGATAGAGGGGTTGGTCTTGAAAATTGATTTTTTCTGAAGATCTGACAAAAACACTCAATTGATCGTTTTCAACCATTCCCATGAGATTCAAAAGATAAGAGACCGGCGGCCATGTTGGAGGAATGAACAATAGATACTAATGAGAAATCCTTTGTTAAATTTCCTCCAAGATGGCCACTATGACATAACATGCAAACCAAGAATAGGGATGTGTGGATATAAAAAAAAAAAATAAATGTGCAAATTTAA